ACACACACACACACACACACACACACACACATATAATTTTGTTTGAGATTTGTAGTGTAACAGAAGCTGTTTATTTTTTCCCCTCATTTTTATTTATGTGAAGCATAAAACCTGGAGGCTGATGCACAACTAAAAGATGGGCTTACTTGTTTTCTTTTGTGTGAGAATCTCTTGCTTTCCTTTTGTCCCTAGTATGGGTACTTGTTTGACTGGCATGGCTTATTGGACTATAACAAGCGTAACTCTCCCTCCTTTGTCATGGGACAATTCTCCCACAAATCCTGAACAGTGTGCATTCTTCCCAACACACTATTGGGTGTGCACTGGAATTGAAAGAATTGCTGAGGCCTGCTACTTCATCCCCTCCCCAATCTTTGTTTTTTTCCCCCCTCCTTCTTTTTTTCCCCCCTCTCACTGAAATGAACACTTTACCAGGCCGGAAACATTTAATTGTCTCCTTTTGAAAAAATTAATTGAAACTTCTCCACTAGTTACCTTTTGTATTGGTGCTTATAACAAAATTTTAAAAGGAAAAGGAAAGGCAACAATATTCATTAAACATTTTCTCTCCCCCCTTCAAAACAAAAGATATTAAAATGGAGAAAGTCAACAATGAGACTTTTTAAGTGTTTTGAAATATACAGAGTTCTATCTCCTAAACATACGTGTAAGATATATACCCAGTAGCATCCATTAGAAAAAATCAAAATCTGATTTTTTAAGAACTAAAGGAAATGAAATTATTCTATTCCACCATTTCCAGTGTTCACAGTCTGCATGTGAAAAGTTTACTATTTTCTGTTGCTGTACCTATGATACTGTACACATTCACATTTGCATGGCAGTGAATTTCTAGTTGAATTCTTTTCTCCAGGGTAAAGTTACAGAGGTGATGGTGATGATAATGATGATGATGATGGTGATGATGATGATGATGCAAAGAAAATATGGGGAGGGTAGGATGTGATTTATTTTGGCCTAATTGTAAAGTTACTGCAAATTGCTCAAAAGCTTTTTAAAGATCTCACTGATTAGATTTTCCTTTCTTTTTGGGAGGGGCAAGGAGGGAAGCTAAAAGGGGAAATAACACCTCTAATCCAGCTTCTGGTAAATAGGCTGCCAGCTTTTAAAATGAGTTTCCTTTCTATTAGTCAGAATATTATGCTAAGCCTTAAGCATTAGTTTTTTATGTTGCCATAGCAGCCTTATTCCTGCAGGGTTGTGACCTGTGATGATTACAGTACAAAGCTTATAGGGTCTTGAAACCCCCTTTGAAGATGAAAAGTCTTTGATGGTTTATATTTATGCAAATCTCTTAGATATGATTTACCCAACTGAGACTGAATGGAGAGATGATTAAAATTCCCTTTCCTTTGATATCCATTAATGGTTGAATATTCCTTAAATTTAAAATGGATGCATGTGTTATTTTTGTCTTTATTTACTAAAATATTTTTGCCATACCTGTGATATGTTTATCTCCTCACAAATTACTTGATCTAGACGGACATAATAGATTTACAATATAGGTTGTGGGTTTTTTCTTTTGAAAAGGGAAAAATCTGTGCAGGCGCTTTTGTATGTTTCCAGATGATAGATTTTGGAATTTGGGCTACCCCACTGGCAGCTCAAAGCTAGCTGTGAACTGGTCTCATGGAAAAAATTGGAAAGCTTTGGTCTTCAAAGAATTAAACTTCCTTTTTAAGGCCTTCCTAGGTAAGCTAAAAATTATGAAGAAAAAGACTCCTGAACAAAGGGTAACGGTGCCGTAATGCATAATACGGATGCCACTTAGAAGGCTGCGGAACAGTTACAGTGATGTCAGTGTTAGACCTGAAACAAAACAGGATGTCAGGTATATCAATACTTCATTGTTTTTAAGGGCCTGCTGATTTGCATTTAACTAAGTCAGGGTGATAGGTGTTAAGTAAATATTTTTGCAATTAAACCTTTAAACTTAAAAATATACAGTAACACCACAGTTCAAAATTGTAGGCCTCAAAACAGACCTACTTTAAAGGTTTTTATTATTATTATTATTATTCTTACTATGGTTCTGGTTTTCTTTGTAATTAAGACCAGGTAGAAAAAATTTAAAAGGTATGAGTTCAGGCAGATATTAATAAATTAATTTTATTCTGATAATTTCTGTTCCGGTTTTAGTTTTCAGACAGATTTTTACATCACTTAAAAGGTCGAACACTTGTAGAACCAATGAATTTAATCCCTTTTGTGGAAACTGCAATGGGGTTACTCAATTTTAAGGTAAGGAACCTTGCTGTAGTTGAGGAGTAAATATTTTATCATATCTACAACCTGGGTTTTAATTAGACAGTCCATGTCCTTTAAATAAGCAGTTTCTCAAAATAAGAGATGTAAAATTAATAAAAATTATTAATTGCAATTCCCTAAAGAGTTTGAATGTTTTATTTCTCATAGTCTTTATGTGAAGGCCTTCATATGCCAATACCAGACAATACGTGCATAACATACAATAAAACTGTATGCATTCGTTTTCATTTCAATTTTACATTACATTTTTATTACAATATGTAGCTATGCTCTGAAATGATCTGGAGTGCACAAATTAATGTAATAAACTTAACTAATTAGGAACTGGCATAAGTGACTATGTATTTGACTTTTATTTAGAAATAATCTGATCATTTCATTAATTTTCCATGGTCCCTTTTACAATGGATTTTATTTTAAAAGTTTCTCCCAAATTTCATGTTACTGATTTGAGGACAAATAGCAGCTTTTCATTTAATGTGTATAGATTGTATTCATTGTTAAGCGTTGTTAGAAGTGTAACTAAAGTTCTAGATTACATAACATCTGCACAACTTACAATTTTGTTATTTTCAGATTCACTTAAATTCAAATTCTGTTTTTATTCTTCCCTGTGTTTGCTCCAGTCTTAGTACTCCTCTGTATTTCTTCATGGGAAAGAATGCATTGATGATGAAATTGAAAATCAAATGCACTCCCTGGAAATGCAGTGTTCTCCTAAAACTTCAAGGGAAAAGTTTCCTACCATTCAGAACTTCTGTGTTATGAGAGTTTTAGGAACTGCTCAAGAGGCCTTATATGGTCAACATGTTTATTTAGCAAAGCTACTCATTCTGATTAGGCATTTTAAATATATCTCAGAACATGGTTTGAAGCATTGCTAAACAAACATGCTAATTTTTAGTACATAGATTGAGACTCCATTTTAAACATTTACACATTGTTTTCACTGTGATATTTTGTAGCACAATGTTTAATGCCACAGTTCTTGGTTTGTCAAGACAGTTACAGTTTATACTTTAAATAATAATTTCTTATGCCAGCACTTGCCACATGTGAATGCTTAGTAGCAATACAATTTGTAGTTACATCTATCTCTTTGCATGTATTATGTTAAAAAATATTAATAATAGTAAAACATTGATATAAAATAGTAATGCTTTTGATATAATTTTATATAATGCCCATAATAACAAAGTGCTGCTTACTTTTGCATTAATGCATTTCAGGACTACTTGCTGCATTTTTTTTTTTTTTTTTTTG